ACTTGCATCAACAAGAACAGCCCCTGCGGCGGAGGAAAAATGGAGTTTTCAGCGCGAAGGAAGTCTTACGTCAGCCACAGACTGCGCGGTGGCCGCGGCGCAAATTTTTCACGGCAGGACAAATAAAAATATATCAACGCGCCTCGCTTCAAGTGTCTCGAGCCTCAATTGACGTGCCTCAAACAGGTATCTAAGATCACTTCAAGCACCACTCAAATGCTTCCCAGCCCACATGAGTTTTAGAACGAGGAAATTAATATATTCGCGCAGTTACTACAGATACAAGGTAGGTAGGTACGTATGTCACCTTACACCTCGCCTTGTTTTCACTAAGCTGGGATCCGATGAGATTGGGCAAATGAAAGAGTATGGATGGGAAACGTACCAAAGGAGTAGCGGTGGGTGCCTCTTGATACACCCAAACAGCGAGGTGCATGCAAATGATGATTCACACACATTGAGAAGCGAGAGGCGTCGATAGAAATCTAGCAAAGAAAAGCAAACGACGAATACGCACCTGCTGATATCACGACGTCCCGCTCCCAGTCCCCATCGACACTCGCCGCCGGCGTCGACGCTTCCTGCTCCCTCCCGCCTGGCTCTCACTGCCGCTTGTATGGCTATGCGAGCTCGACGCGTCCGAAATCGCCACTGAATGCTGGGCCGCAATCTGCTGAGTCTGCTGCGTGTGATGCGTGGGGAATCTCGTCAACGGTGACGAGCGTAGAGTAGCCGTCGCGCACGAGACCGTCAGGCACTACTCGTCCGGGGACCTGTACCGCGCGCGCTCAATCAGCCTCCTCCAGTGCCAAATAGATAAAACAAAGGGGGGAGGCGACTCGACTCACCACGCCAAAAGTCATCATAATGCAGCTTCGTGAGCAGACACACCGGCCTCGCCTGCGTGTCGTATATCGCGACCGTGTCCATAGCTACGACCGCGTACAGCATGCGGTACGGCAGCGCGGGAACAGACGAAGACCTCGCGTGCCCGGGCGCAGGCGTAGACACGACTTGGACGCAGCGGGCGTCGGCGGGCGGCGTACGTGCACGTGCGCGCGCGAGGCGAGCACGTTGCGGAGCGGGCGCGGCGACTGTCGATCCTGCTCCCGCTCCTCCCACCGCGATGCGAGGTGCCCAACGAGAGCCACCTCCATACTCCCCTCTGCATCCCTCGCACGCTCCCAATGCTATTCACCCTCCTCACCCGTCCCCGTCCCCGGGCCCGGGCGCGGTTCCCCTCCCCACGTGTGAAGTCGACGCCCCACCGCCCTGGCCCTGGGGATAGATAGATAGATGGCATGAGACAGAGTAATAACATAGCGGACGATACCGAGGATGAGGGAGGCGACTCGACTCACTACGTCAAATCCGAGAAGAGATGAGACGAGGGAGAAAAAGCAAAAAGATGGGCTTGAGGATGAGGCAGCGCGGCGGGCACGCGCGGATGGAAGACGCGGTGGCGCGCCGGATTTATGCAGCGGGGACTGCACTCCATCACGGCGGGAACATCACCTACGAGCAATCGAGTGAGCAAACTATCCAGACGAGGAGGGAAGAGAGGGCACATACGAAGCTATCCCCGGCCTGCAGCACAGCGACGAGCATGCGCGTCGGAGGTTCACGCCACCGTAGACGCGCAAGCGCGAGCCCGTCCCGAAGGGCGTCGTGTGGCTCGCCATCCGCGCGAGGCACGCCTCCGCCTCCGACGCCTCCCCACCATCCATGAGTCCTCCTTGGACCCGGCGGCGCGATGGCAGCCAGCGCTGGGGAGGAACGTCCCGGTCTCGGGTGTACGAGGGCAGCCAGGCCTGCGTGGAGTCGATCGTGCGCGCCGGGTGGGAGCGCGTGCGTACCCCATCTTCTGCGCGGACGAACTTCGACGTTGTTGGATGTGGATACAGTGGGGCGCGGCGCCGCACAGACAGAGGGAGAGCTGACGCAGCGTCGCGTCAGCGAGGGCGAGGATCGCGATGGAAGTGAAGTGAATGAAGGAACTAACCCGCCTTGATAAAGGCCTCGTTGTGCATAAAGGCGTTGAGGTACTCCATACCGCTTGAGGATCTTGATATCGGGACAGCGCTCGGGTGGCATCGATGTCGTCCTGGAGCGCGCGCAGGATGTGGTGGCGGCGCGTAAGCTCCCAGAGGAAGTACGAGTGGTGTGGTATCCGTGCCAGCAACCCTACTACTCGCGAGTGGTGAGCGAGCATGCAGTGAAGGGAAGGAAAAAAGAAGAACGAAAAGGACGTACATACATTCAATCGTCTCGCCATTGGGGTACTTGTAGGCGGCAGCATGTACGACCTTTCGGTGTCTTCGGAAAAGGACGAGTGTTGAGAGGAGCAGGACGGGGCCAGCGACGAGGCGCGTGAAGAGGAGCAGCTGAAGGTTGGGAAGGCCGAGAGGAGGTGCGATGGGGTGGTGCCACGACGGTCGGCGCGGGGACGGGGGCAGCGGGGGCCTAGCGGCATTTGACGGGGCGTGCATTTCGGGACTCGAGTCGAGACGAATTCGGCCAAGAGTCGCACGTTGCTTGAGCCGCACGTTGGGGATCTTCATGACGAAATTCTATGCCCACGTCGGGACGGCGCTGTAAAGAGGGAGATGACAGGTCAGCGAAAGTGTGAGGAATCAAAGCAGGGAATAACGGAAGGTAAAAGAAAGTAGAATGAAGAAAACGGTGAGGGACAGAGCCATAGGATGGGCAGTTGGCAACGACGCGTCCGCAGAAGAAAAGGAAAAGAACAATCACGTACCAAAATGCCGCGTCTCGCCCAATTGCCACAGTCAAGGCTTCCCCAGCCTCGAGAGCCCACTTGCGGATGGCCCCGAGCGAAAAGCCATAAGACGATGACACGATAATGTCGAGTGCGAACTGAGATCGCGTCAGTCGACATGGAATAATAAACACGCGATGTGAAACGCACGTGTCGGAAGAGTCCAGCGGGGTGTGCGGGGGGAGTCCATGGAGAGTAGGACCGATGATAATCCCGCTGGGGTCACATCCCGAAAATCGGCCTGATTTGAACTTTTGTCGGGACTAATTTTATTTTCCCACGCTTTGTGAGGCGGTAAAAACGACTCTTTTGGAAAGGCGGGTCTTTTCGACTTTTTTTGGCCAAAATTTTTCGGAAATTTTGTCGGGACTCCTGGATGTGACCTCAGCGGGATTATCATCGGTCCTTGGAGAGTCTTGAGATGGATGTGTGAGTTGCGATGCCGCGAGCAAGAAGATTGAGTAAAGAAATAGAAAGCGACAAGACGCAACCGAGACGTGAAGCGGGACGAAGGAAGAGTGCGACGCTCATCAGCGGTAAGGGGCGGGAGAAGGGCAGGATGACGCGAGAAAAAAGAGAGCAAATAACGCACATCTTCCCTGTAGCGTCGCCCATTTCAAGCGTGAGTTTGGCCAGATTGAATGGGGTGTAGTGGGAGGCGTAGGCCTTGCAGCGGATGGAGTGCTGCGCGTGAGGAAGGCATCCTGTAAGCTTGGTGGTCAGAACGAAGGGAAGATGTGAGAGGGACAGGGATGCGACGCGTCGAAGGGAAGAAATGAGCGCGTAAAAAGACTCACGCATGGTCTCTCTCTCTGCCTGCTCCTTCTGCCTTCCGTCCTTGTCCTTGTCCTTGTCCTTGTCCTTGTCCCCGGTGGTAGTATTGCTAGAAGACGACGCAGGGCGCGCCTTTTGGAAAGGCACAGGCTGGAAGTCGCAGGACGAGATGGCCTTGGAGTTATTCGTTGATTCGTTCTTCATGTGAGTCTTTTGCTATCCTTTCTTTTGTCTGCCTGGTATTGCCGAAGAGGAGCGCGGTGGTGTGAGTGGGATGAAAGCTGGTTGTGCCGTTAGCGCCGACAGTTACGGCATTCACCTTCTCTCATCCGGCCACAACGCACACCCGCGATTACAGCTGTTTGCAGATCTAATGGCACTAGCCAAATTTTCACAAACAAGAGCAAATTTGATGCTGTCCTTCTTCCCGCGTCCATTGCGGGCTCAATTCTCCACGGATTTACTCGAAACTAGGTGCATTCGACAGCGTTTCAACGGCGCTACCGAACCTATGTGGTCATCCGCTCCAATTGCGAGTTTGAAAATTCGGTCTTATTGGGCTGCTCGGCGATTTTAGTCCTCAACTTGATATCGTTGTTCTCCCTCAATTCTTGACCTATTGACCTCAAATTGAGTTCTTGTCAACAGGAATACCTTGCCCATACCCCCCTTCCCCACCGTTTTCATGACAAGCCTCAAGTGTACTTCGTCCTCCCTTGAGTATTGTCTTCAGATTTGACTTGTGGCTGTCTAGACACCCTCTCCATATATGGGTTCCTAGTTCCTGTGTTGATGTGAGTCCAACTTTGGGCTCCTGTACTTCCGGCATGTGTGACCCACTGATCACTAAGTCGGCAAATTCCGACTTGTGGCAAACCCGGCTCCAACTTGCTCGTCCGAAAGTCCTGAGCATCACGTGATATTACATGTCGCGTACTCCTGTCATAACAATGGGCAACAGTCACAAGCTCTACTTGGCGTTGCCACAAGTACTACTTGGTGTTTCCCGGCCAATCCTAAAGTCCCCAGAGTGGACATTCCTAAGTCCCTTGATACATGGTTTATTGCAAGGACATGTTCCTGACTTGCGGCAGTATGTACTTTTTGCTCCCATAGTCCAGCCAGTTCCCAATTAACCATTGCAATTCTAAGTGCCAATGCTATGCAACAGGACTTGCTGCTAGCGGCTTGATGCGCATGTGTGCAAAGCCAGAAGTAGTGAAAAAGTGAGTTTTCACCGGCGTTCATTTTCACGGCTTATCAACGGTGTTTAAAGCTGTACCTTGAATTGAACAAGGAGCTCGCAATGAAAATGTTACAGGTGCTGTAAATTGACTGTGTGTGTTACCGTTACACCACTGGGCTGTATTTGTGACAAAGATTACTCAGAGAGCATGCAAAACAAAGAAGGTGCCGAACCAATCAAAATAAGTAGTTGTATTTCCCAAGGCCAGACCCCGAGTCGAACAAGGGCAGCGGTCTGAATATTGCTTGAACCTTGATCAAGCATCCGTGCACTAACTGCTGTGCTATCTGGCCGTGATAGCAAGGACCTAAAAAGTAAGGTAGGGGACAGACATATTTGGTTGCCTCACGTGTTGTTACGGTAACACTTCCCTTTTGGGACAGACTACGTCGCGACCCCAATTCACACCACTTTTCAGCAGTCCATCAAAAATTCACGTCCATACGGTTGTGTTTATTTAGGTTGAGTACATCCTTGATTATTTTCGAGAATTTTGGTACAGATTTGAAGGACGAGTTCCAATTTCTTCTAAATTAGCAGTAAGTTTGCCTCGATGTGCGAGTACTGGTGTGCTCGTTGCCGAGTTTATTTAGCTGGTGTGCCTCAAAAATTTTAAAATGCCAGTCTCATTTGTTTCTCACACTCGTGCCCCCACCCAAGAGCCATGCGGTGGTTTGTTTTCCGGGCTCATTTTTGCTAATGCATATCGGCAGACTCGACGGTGCACAGGTTGCGTGGGCTGCCAGAAAGTACAAGGGGCATCAGTTTCTGGCTCCCGAAGTTTTGAAGGACATGGAAGACGTTGGAATTGGGTGGGGAGGTAATCCAAATGCCAGCTTATAGCATGTAGACAGAAAAATTGGAACTCGTCCTTCAAATCTGCACCAAAATTCTCGAAAGTAATCAGGGATGTACTCAACCTAAATACACACAACTGTATGGACGCGAATTTTTGATAGACTGCTAAAAAGTGGTGTGAATGGGGTCGCGACATAGTCTGTCCCAAAAGGGAAGTGTTACCGTAACAACACGTGAGGCAACCAAATATGTCTGTCCCCTACCTTAGGAAAGACTCATAAATAGGAGGCAGAGGGTGTGGAGCTGGCAATTAATGATAAGAAGAAGCCTTGAGGGGAAAAGAGGACACAGGCTGAATTCTGTTTCCGACAGTTACAGTGGTGGCGAAAAATAATGCAATGCACAATTTTTCGAAAAGATTGATCTGTATTACAAGAACAACAGAGCGTGTGGCGTGGCGTGATGTGTGCTTTGGATCGTTATCCTGTTGAAAATACACGGATTGGCAGTTGATGTTGTGGGTGTCCAACGTTCCCAGGAGTCCCCTCTCCAATATATCTACGTATTACTCCGCATTCATGTTGCCGTCAACCCAAATAAGGTGCCTGAAGCCCTCCGATGTCATGCAGCCCCACACCATGACTTTGCCATGCTTCAACCGCTGCTGTACATTATGGGGCTCAAACTCTTCATTAGGTCCCCTCCTGCAGTACTGAATCCCATCTGACCCAAAGATGTTGAATTTGGACTCGTTAGAGTAAATTACAGCATTCCAATCTGAGGGTCCCCAATTTTCGTGGCGTAGTGGCCATTCAACGCGCTTCTGCTGATGGGTTTTTGTCATCAGAGGGACCTTTCGCTTGCGACATCCATTTAGACCCTCCTGCCGAAGTGCCTGGCAAGCTGTCCGGGCTGGAACATCCGGAAATTGGTTGTGCCGGACGTCGGCAGCAGTCTGGGCCACCCCTGATCTGATCATCCTACATGCAATCCGCCGATCGTGGGCATCCAATCGCTTGGGACGACCCCAACCAGGTGTTATAGCATATAAATCCTCCTTCCTTCAGCGTCTGTGATACATCTGACATGCAGTGGACGGGTCACACTTCAATTCTTTCCCAATGTTGGGAAAACTGACACCGCTGAAACGGGCAGCTGCGCCTGACTATGAAACTCGCTAGGATATGCCTAGGGAATGTGCACTAAATGTAACAAACCACTAACACACACAACTAACACAACCTCACTTTATACTCCCAAGAACTGGCGCACTCCTTGGTTGAGTTCGGGTCCGAGCCATAGTATGCGACTACTGGTTTGGATTCCTAGGGGCAACGAAAAGGTATCGATTTCTGTTCTACTACTGACACTAGTCCTACTCTCTGGTCTGCTCTTTGGTACTACCACAATCCTTGACGCGAAACGCTGCACACCAACTGGTGATTTGTGAACGCCTTTGGGGGGGGGGTAGGGTACTAGGGTTACCAAGTAGCTCCTAGGCAAAGTTTGTAAAGTTTCCATCTGAAAATCCCAATAGGGCTATGCTGCTTCCACAAGTACTGCCTCTCAACAAGACTAGGCCAGATAACCGCCTTGCTGGACTTGCGTTTCCTGTACTAACACAAGAACGTTTTCGTACGCTTTGGCTTTTTGGGGCCTTGGGACAACTAGCTCTGTTCACTGTGATCTACCAGTTCAATCTTCCACTGCGCTCAACCAAAGTGTTCTACCTAGCTAGCGCCTAACTTGGTGTTTAGGTCGAAACTAGCGCAGCCTCTGCATTGCCAATGCGAAGTAACTGCGCAGCCAATGCAACGGATAAGTCTTCCTTCCTAGCGCATGTGGCCCTCCTAGATTTATACATGGAGCAACGAACCGCCTCTTGTTCCAACGCGAAACTTAGTTGTTTATACTTGCACTGGTTCTCAGAGATATTCAACTTGAAATGTCACTCCAAAAATAGCCAATCAAAAACCAAGGTTCGATTCTACAGACAATACAGATACAGAGGAAAAATATGTTATTCTCTCCGCAGATCGCCTGAGGACACCCACACCGTTCTACGATGAGCAGGGATGAACTGAGTTACAGCGGCCTTTTCTGGTTCCTTTTATACTACTGAGTCCTTTTAGATGAGATAAGATGAAATGAGTAATGGAGTGGTGGTGTTTGGTCGTTCGGTAAGCAAGAAAATGCTGCCGAGGTGATTTGTAAGTGCGGCCAGATGAAACAGTCAGCATTGCTGATGCTTTCCTTGGCCTAGGTGGGTCTGGTAGTTGCAATAACTGGCTGCCGACTGCAGCCGATCATGTGTCATTCTTCCGAGGCGGTTCCGCGTCACCTAGCACACTCATTCATGTCTTGTCATCCTCCGATAATGTCCGTTCGTTCGCAGTCTGAACTTCTTAGCAAGGTAACATCTTCCCATTGTTGCCAATCGTCTCCATTTGGCTTTCAAGGGTGCTGTTAGGCTAGTCCTTCTAAAATAGTCAGGTATAATCTGTCCCTAGGTACTGTGCGTTCTTTCCTAGGAGACTGGCTATTGTTTCCGATCTGTCTTCCTTGGTAGCATTTGCGTAACCAATGGCCCTAGGACCCTCGTCCTTGGCATCTACTTGGTTATTGCCGGGTTCTGTCCTCCTAGGCAAATGCTAGGTTCCTCGTTGTGCAGTCATTGGCTCTACATTTATAGATCCCTTGTTGTACTCCGTTCCTAGGCAGGAATATCCTCCTTGATAATGTACTTCTGATCCTGGTATCGCTTGTAACCGCGTGCCTCAGTCTCGTTCATACTACAACCAGCAGTCGGAGCTCGCTCTGGTTCTCCTTTGTACCACCAGACAGAGTTCTGTTGATACAGAAGCTAGCTTTGTCTTCCTAGGAACACTAGTGTAACTAGTGGCTTAAAAAGCGCAAAGTTTAGCTAGATGGCAGTGCCTTGGTGTGGCACCGTTTCACCGCGCTTCCTGAGAGATACGATGTGTGCCCACTTGGAGGGTGAGGGTTGGTTATGCATGGGGGAATGTGTGGGAGGGTGAGTGATAAAGAATACAAGTTGTTTCGTCCAAAACAACGTGTAAATGCAATAGTTAGTGGTCAAGTTGTGATTTAATTACACCCAAAAATTGGCCCCACTGATGTCATCGCTTCACCGCACCACCGGATCAATCCCGGCAGGTCCCAATTTTTTTTTGCATAAACTAAACTCGCCTCGCTACAATCCCCTCACTTAGTACTTGACACCATATTGTAGTGTTCTTGTGTTATTAATGAATCTTTTCGAAAAATTGTGCATTGCATTATTTTTCGCTGTCACTGTAATTTACAAGCACTGGGTGATCGGGCACGAATAAAGTAACAGAAAGCGCTGGCCACCGCTGAGGGGAAAAGGGGCGTGTTGTGCAGAAGGAGCGCAGAATGGGAAAAGTACTGCCTGAGGAGGGAAAAGGGTGCTGGCACCCTCTTCAAGGACAAGAAAGCACTGACAGTGGTTGAAGGAAAGAGTGGTGAAATGCTAATGCAAATATGAACTAGAGATGAACTCCAAATCCACACTATACACACACCACACACACACATAGAGTATGGCACGAGTATTGAATATCGCGAATATTTGTGGCAAGCTATTCGCGAATTATACAACGTGGGACAGCCCAGTAATGAATAAGCAAGCTGAGTCCGGGTATATTGCTGCGGGCAGGGTATGGCCTTACCCGTTATAGTAAATTTATATGCCGCACCACCTTCACCTGTGTAGGCAAGGGTTTTGATGCAGCTCGGCTACCGACTCAGTCGTCTAATTGTAACTCCTTTGTCCTTTTCTGGCCTCTTGGAGCAGCAACTTGTTAGGCGAGCTTTGCTGAGACCTTCATCAACATCTGAAGGTTTTGTCTAGGCCCTGAATCCTCAGCTCTGACTCCATCTAACTTTGGTTCGGGTTGTTGTGCTGCTGCGGTGATGTCTGAGACCCGACACTTGATCTATGAACCATGACACTCGTGAGAGGTGTCTTGTTCGGCACACTGAGCGAGTGCTGAGGTATTCGGGAATACCCCTGCGCCCCCTCAGGTGCTTAACATAATTGTAGTAGCACTCTGGATGGATCCCTACTCTACTGTCCTTTGATTGGGGTTGTGCCGATGGCTCCAAACTTAGTCTAAGTTGGTTAAACCATTGTTTGAGGCAAATACCTTTGCTACCGTGAGCTCTGACCCTTGCCGGAATCATTACTAGTCGCAGCGCAAGCATTCTCCCACACAATAGACTCATAGCTGGCAACCCAGGACTGGTCCCAGCTCTCGTATGAAATGTACTAAGCCCAGCAGTAATATTATTACTCCATTGGAAGTGATAGTCTGCCTTGGAAATTGGTAAATTTTATGGGTAGCCACTTTCCAGGCTTATTAGTGATCTTCTAAAGAGCCAGTTGACCAGCTCAGGATGTAACTGTTAAATTTGGGTGCCCACAACACATATTGCGTATGTAGGGCACATT